TCAGCTGACAAGTTAGAGTTGGTGAACAAACGTGCGCTCCGTTTTGTTTTTAGAGATAAGTCCTCCCCTTATGAGGAACTTTGTAAGCGTATCGGTCTCTCAAGTCTTCGTGAACAGCGATTAGCGAAAATTTTGTCCACTGTCTTTAAGATATTAACTAGTGATGCAGGACCAAAAAGCTTACGTGATCTTATAACAGTTAGGTGCTCCACTTATAATCTTAGGGGCACCACAATACTGGACCTCCCAAAAGTAAAATCAACAACCTTCGGGTTAAGATCATGGAGATATGCTGCATCGAAACTATGGAACGCTTTACCGGACGAGTCTCGAAAGATACAGACATTTACTAGTTTTAAAAATTACTTAAAAACATTAGATCTCACGGGACTCTAGCGCGGTGAGGATCTATTTTTAATTATATTTCAACTCGTTGACTACATTATTAAATTCTTATATTTTAATATTAGCCTGTTTTTAATGATTACATTTTACATTTTATATATTCTAGTTCTTAATTCTTAATTTATTTAAATTTATATACCTTCACAAGGCTTTATAATTTCCTTTTTTCTTTTTATTTCGTGGCGTACCTGTAAACTAGCTTTTAGCTAAGCGTTCTGACCACGTTAAATAAATTGATTGATTGATTGATTGATTGATTGATTGACCAAACGCTGAGACCAGCAGGACCAAACGGTGGGGCCAGCAGGACCAAACGCTGAGGCCAACAGGACCAAATGTTGTGGCTCGCGACACTTTCTAGCCTCGTCAGCGCCTTCATGAATAGCCCCCAAATTACGTTTGTTTTGCAATGATGTTTTTCAAAAATACACGCTCAGGGCCACACGGGTTATTTGATAACCCGAGTTATTAATACTGACAATTTAACAATTAAAGCTTAACCTAGAAGAAACCAATAACAGGGTGGACAAACTCCAAAGGAAAAGGATAAATCAAAATGAAATTAGGATCTATAAGAGTTGAGGAAGTTAATATTGATTCCACATTACAAACCTTGAGACAAACATGCCGTGCGTAACGTAGGTCCTTTAACCAGTTTGCAGTCGTTATGATATAGTTTGGAAGAATCAAATTTAACTAAAGTATACATGAAAAACAGTGCGCCCTTATCAAGTTATGTTATATTCGATCTACAAAACGTTTTCCTCTGCAAATGTCTCTCTTGGATCACGCTCACAGCCTGCTAATAAAACATTTTCACGCTGGCATTCCTTCAGTTTTTTATGAACAATAGTCACCCTTTACTTTTCCTTTTTGACTTACCTTTCTTTCCTTTGAGATACAATGAATATATGAACTTCATATTTTCATTGTATCTCATATATATCTCATTGAGGATCGTGCATCATACCTTTCTTTCCTTTCTTCCCTTTCTTTCCTTTCTTTCCTTTCTTTCCTTTCTTTCCTGTCTTCCCTTTCTTTCCTTTCTTTCCTTTCTTTCCTTTCTTTCCTTTCTTTCCTGTCTTCCCTTTCTTTCCTTTCTTTCCTTTTTTCCCCTTCTCTGTTGATAAGAAGAATTTAAATCAATACAGGAATGAATAAGTGTGACAGCGCTCTTGTCTCTGGTGGGATAAAATAACTTTGATCAAAGTCAGGTTTAGCTATGTGCTACTACAGTTTACTAGGAAAGGGGAAGATTTTTTTCCCCATTGAATTCTATAACAGCGACTTTCCACAAATTCAAACTGGTTTGTATTTGTGGGACGTCATGGTTATAGAATGAAACACAACGATTTGTTTTTCGCAGAAACTCGCCCTTAACTTGAGAAGAAGGCCCCACGTTATGAATGTAGAATTCACCAACTTTTAGGCTTCGTCGCTGGTGGTTTCACAGTCGTTGGAGCGACTGGTCTAGGATTCTCAGTCGGTGGAGCGACTGTACTAGGATTCTCAGTCGGTGGAGCCACTGTACTAGGATTCTCAGTTGGTGGAGCCACTGTACTAGGATTCCCAGTCGTTGGAGCGACTGTACTAGGATTCTCAGAGGGTGGAGTGTCTGTCTTAGGCTTTTTAGGTGGTCCGCATGTTATGATAATAATAGGTTCCTCTGTTGTTGGTTCTTCGGGATCTGCAGAAAGAAAGAGAAAAAAGTGAATCGACTTTATCGATAAATTTTACCTCACCAACGCTAGAATAGAGCGCATATACGAACGTTGTAATGGCTAGGAGGCGTGCTTTCTGGAGGTCAGAGCCAAGTTTTCCTATATAAGTCATACATAACTACGCAAGCCAGTGACTCAAGGTGTTTTAGAAGCGTATAGCTTTTGATAAAGCTGATAACAACATAGTTCATCACCAGGATAACTTTAATTGATTAAATTAAATGCTAGAAAAGGCTGGAGTTTTCCGTCTGTTTCTGTTTCATTTTACATATTATAAAGAACCTTTCAATTTCTATTCGAACATGTTACGTGACAGCAGTTGTTCCTAATGTTTTCATTTAAAATTTTGCGGCGGAACCAGCGCTTAGCGAGCCACAAATCATCCGCCTGCATTTGACTTCTGTGTTTTCTTCGTGGACGCTAGGTGCTGAGAAATCGCATTTGTGCGCCACCGTGCTCTTCATTCTTATAATTTCAGAACCAACAAAACCTTTGGGCCAAATTTTGGTATCTTGGATTTTGTTTCTTTACTCAACCCTCTCTTAATCAAAGAACACGTTATCAAGGCAAAGGTAACACAGAGCTGCTGTAATGTTCGCTCACACTTGTCATTAACGGGAAGGAACGGAGGAAGGAAGTGGGTAACCATCTTAAAGATACATGAGTTTCTTTTTTTAAGTTTAGGTTTACCATTTTCATCTTCGATGATGTCAAATCCGCTCACTTCTGGATCCATCTGATTTATTTCAGGGCTGGGCTCGTCTTGGTTGCCCTGAGATTGACCTTCGATGCCGCCCTCATACACAACATCATGGTCGTCTATTGGATTCCGACTAGGACCAGGTCTGGCAGTTATCAAATTAAATGCGGCGAAAAACGCCAGCTATAATATAAGAAGAAGGGCATGTTTAGTTTGCTGCTGAAAGAGTGCGGGAGCAAATAGGCGAGCGAGGTAGTCAGTAAGGTACAATATCTTGGAAAAAAATAATGAAGACTCATTTCACAGCCGGATGCGAAATGTTAAGTTGTTTTTTGAAAGAAGCCCACCTCTCGACTAAGGGACAACATGGGAGTATGAACCTTATTTGGAGCCAGGAATGTGAGATTGTGGAGTAGATGATGAGGTAATGGGTAGAAGGATCTACGGGAACAATTTTTGAAACGGGAATTATATCCTATAAGTCAACCATTTCTCTGAACAGCCAGCAAATAGAATTGCAGATAAAGTAGGCTGGGCGGGCTGTTAACCTGTTAGCCAGGCTAAGACATCCTTACTTAGTAATGCAGGAAGTCATGTTGGATGAAAATAGATAAGACCACCCAGCTGGTAACTCACGACAAGCTTAGCCTTGGCACCGTAGCGGAGGGGCAAAGCCGTGAGAGAGAAGGACTGCAACTAACGCAGCGCTAATGGAAATCCTGCTTGCAAGTTACATTCTGATATGTTTTGGTTGTATCAGTTTTTAGAGAACAACATGCTCTAAAATGGTCATAACTCACCAGCGATAGTATTTTCCCGGGTGGCATGTGAAGGCTGTCTTTACCGAGCTTTTTTTTCGACTGAAATAATAATAATAATGATACTAATAATCATAATAATGATAGTAATAACAACAAGAATGATAATAATGATAACAATATTGATAATAATGACAGTGTGAAATTAATTAAGACACATAGTTGTGCTATAAGTCGATGAGTATGAAATTCTTTGGCAGGACCATATCAGCGGTAAAATGAGATTTCGGCATTTCTGTGATTCGACTCGATCTTCTTAGAGGCATACAAAACTATTTTTGAATGAAATGTTTAACGTTACCAAACTATTAATCTATGTTATCTCTAAGTAACAGAATATGAAAGCCTTATTTTTACTGAGTTAAACAAAAACTGATCCGATGAGAGTTGAGCTTTGTTAATGGCTTTTGGTTTAGCCACCAATACTTATGCATATTTTTATGACCGCGATCATTTCTATTTCGTCGCCAGACGATCTCTTGTGTCAGCCATCAAGTAATTTCGGACAAGTGCTGCTTAACCAAATTTCTATTGAAATGAGTTCTCTCAAACGGCCTTCGCCCTCTCATAATTTTGCATAATTTGCGATTAATCAATCTGCGTAATTACACATCAAACAAATAACGCTGGATTTGCGAAACCTTTTCAGCTAAAATTCCCTTCACTACATCATATTCTCCTGTTGAGAGCAAGCCTACTTTCACAGCTAGGTTCTATCGTGCAACGTAACGTGCCAAAATTTGCCGAAAACAAAACGACAAACTTAAAGATTTCCTGGCGCATTTACGCTAATGTTGATAGCACAGAGATCCTTGCAAAACCAACCTCACGAAATTCTAAGATTTGTTACAAAGGAGTTTTGACGCAGTTCCTCACGTACATCTGCCGAATAGATATACACAATCGCAAATTTTTTCTTACCATAAACACATACCGAACATCTTCTTCCAGCCGATTTCTCGGCGGCTTTTGGCATCAAATGCGAATAATGGTCACTGCAGTCGTTACGCTTGAATGGACATTTATTTAACGCACTGCTTGATCAACCAATCTCCAAATAAAATGAAATCAGTAAAAGAGCAACAAAAATAAAATAAAATATATCGGAAGTTTATCTTTTTTCAACATTAGCTTTAATCACCGCTATCTTAAGTCGTATTAAACAACTTTTGTTTCCGGAAAGAGCAACAGTATCCCCATAACTGTTTACAGAAGTTGCTTATTTTATGTTTCAGTTCACTGCTCGCCACGAATGCTTCCACAAATAATCTACACTTTTTAATTTGTACTGAAATCCAAGCTTTTCAGGCTATCTGAATTTCTATGCTGAGCACTGTTGTGTATACTTCTTATTCTTAGATTCCAACAGGCACCCTTCTTCGGTGGATAAATTGTGGAATTAGCATGTTTCCCTCACGCTCTCTTGGACATGGTTGAAAAGCCTATGAGAGTGGAAGAGTTTGATTTGCTTTATCATAGAGGTAGAGAGTGTAAAATATTGGCATAAGTTTAAAAAGTTTGCCAAAGAAGCATGTGAAAGCGACGACGTGTATACGCTTAGAGTTTTTAGAGTTTATAAGCGGGTGTTCTCACAAAACCGCAGCCTCAACAACGAACTTCCCTTCGGTAAAAGGCGGATTTTTAACGTCACAACGCGCAATGCATTTAGCTTTGACAACATGCCCTAAACTTATTACGGCAGGTAAAGCTAAAATAAATGACAGCAGGGATTTATTGTGAATCGTAAGCTGGCCTTAAAATGTGCGGGTCGACGACCTGAAATGTCTATGAAAATTATTCGAGTGTTCAAATCAAAGCGTGAACGAGTCAATACTCGTTCATTCAAACAAAGCTCTGGATTTCATTTTCCACTTTTGATAAGTTTTATGGTATTTTTTTTTATACTGTTGTTAATTGAATGTCGCACCATGCTGCCCCATTATATCGAAAGAAAACGTATTTACTGAATTTTCATTTTCCAAGATAAAACTAGACATCCTTTGTCACCTTTGGCTTACGTAGGAGAAAATATTTTGACTGTCTTCAATTCGAAATTAAAGGTGGTAAAACGCGTTTATCATGAAGCGTTGCTTCCCCAACTCAGTTACTTGAATGCGTCTAGAATTGTATTGTTTATGTCAATCCTGACTTAGAATCAAGGAATTGTTCTAAAATAAGTTAATTTAAGCGAAACTGAAGAGCATACTGTGGTGTTCATATGAAAGTTATAAAATAGGAATCCTTTACCTTTCAAGACCTTGCGTTGCTTCGTGATCACGAACACAACAACTTATGGACGAAGGCAAATTATCTTAGAAAAGATCTGTTTTCCACTACACTTATAAGGGATCGACACGATTAATGCATGGTATTGGAGGTCAATGGATATTTAGCCGTTCTCATTGGCTACGTATCTCTAATGAGCAGAGGGTGCTTTGATCCTTCCTCAAATAGCACAGCAACACCTCCTACGTCGCGTCGCAAAGTCATCGTAATTGCAGCATATAAGTGATTTGGCAAAGTATAAGTTTCCTAATCTTTTCATAAACTATTCCACATGAATCACGCTAGGAGAAAATATCCCGTGTAAATTCTTTTTTCTCCGGACCAGTCACGTGTGACGCATTTTCAGAAAGTGATTACCGACCCATTGGACCCTGTTAAGTTGTCAAAGATGTTCTTTCGCCTATGGGAAAGAACTGTAAATAAAGGATATTTGAGACATTTGAGAGGAAGTATGCTCGTGGCGTGGTGTACTTTTTAGACTCCCGCA